AGAAGAAGAAGAAGAAGAAGAAGAAGAAGAAGAAGAAGAAGAAGAAGAAGAAGGTGGTGGTGGTTGTGGGGATGGTGGTAGTGGTAGCGGTAGTGGTAGTGGAAGTGGCGACAGCTTTTGGACGCTTCCTTTTGTTTGCCATCATACTGTTATCCCACCCTAAGGGTAGAATTTGTGCTCCGGGTTATAAGCCTAGTTTTGCGTTTTTTAAAATCTAGGGAGTTTGTTGTTTGTTTGTTTTTCAAGTCCCGTGTTTATCATAACAAAGCGAGAAAAATATCGAAAGTCATGAATTAACGCTTTGAACATGGAAACCCAAGTGGCTGATACCTTTATTAAGTAAAGGGTCAGCAAATAGGCCTACTGATAAAATTTTCGAAATACTCGGTGTGGAATACTTGGTTTCGATACCTACCAGCCAAGGCTACCAGCCTTTCTTTCTGAGCCCCCCTCCACGCGCAGACAAACTCTCTCTCTCTCTCTCTCTCTCTCTCTCTCTCTCTCTCTCTCTCAGTAGGCCAGTTAATCAGTTGTACATAAATGTAGGTCTACCTCTCAGCTATTCGTCATTCGCTCGAGAGAATCGGCAATCGACCGCATGCATACATACCTGTTCAAAACACAGCTAGTAGCTAGAATATAAGTGTTCACGCCAGCGAAGCATCGGATATATTTTTGGCTTTAGTATTTTGAAATTTTGCCGGCTTGCACTCACTTCCATAGCACGAGACCAGGGTTTTCCACTAGTGTCAAACGGTTTTCTTTTTAAAACCCTTATCTGTGGTGTACGAACTGACCGGCGGTTGCTGACAACTGAAAACCATCATCATGGCAATGAGCATGACAAGACAGATGTTCCACAGGTACGGAAATCTTTTTGCTGTTGCAATAATTAAATACAGTAGTTTATATCCTACTTCACAATTTTATGTGTTGCGAAAACTACCCGGGCACATGTGCACTTTATAGTGCGTGTTGTGATAAGTGATAAGGATAGAATCTGTCTTCAGCCTACTTGCAGTGTAGAAAACGTTTACCTGGTGATAACAGAGAGTTTCAGAAAGTTGTTTGCGCTAAATTTTGAAAAGCGCTTGCCAACTTTGGTGATATTGTCCACTTGTGAGCGACTGGTCATTTTAGTTGGTGCTGGGTGTCACTCAGGTAGTTGCAAGTATTTATGCTCCACTTAGAAACATGTGTACATGTGGGTAGTTAGTACGAAAATTTTAACCTCTTAAAGAGGGTATAAATGGGTGCTAGCTGCAAAAGGGTTGACAAGCACTACTTTAGACCAACCTGAGAATTGCGTCAGCACACCGTAGCAAAGTAAAACAATGGGAATCAACTGACGCTAGGTTAATAGAGAAATCGTGAATAAGACCGTATTCCCAAACTAATTCACTCGAGCTTGATGCTCAGGTGCGATTTTAACTTTGGCTCCACAGCTCTGCATCTTTCTATCTTTCTTCCTTTCCTTCTTCCCTTCCTCCCTTCCTTCTTTCCTTCCTTCCTCCCCCCCTCCCTCCCTCACTCCCTCCCTCCCTCCCTCCCTTCCTT